AATTATACATATATATGCGATTTTACGAAATAATATAGAGAGATCTCATTTATTGTTTAGGGAGTTTCTGTCCAAAGATAACCTTTCAAAATTATTATCACAACTATTTTCCTGACATTTGCACAGTCAACATACAGAATATCTGTACAGTCTCTAGGTTCTCTTACACTGCCCACTTATAGCCACATCCATTGCTTTCTGGCTTTCGCCCTCGACTTTAGTCACTAAACTCTTCCCCATTTATGTAATCTAATTTCAAGAATCTGCTATGAATGGAGTCACATAGTACATAAGTTTTAGAATGTTGACTTTTTCTCATTTAGTATTATTCTCTAAATATTTGGTCAGGTTGTTTATGTTAACAGTTCATCCATCCTGTTTTAAACCATTTCCTTGTAGTCAGAAAGTTGAAACCATTTATTTTTCAGAAGATCTCTCTCTCTCTCTCTCTCTCTCTCTCTCTCTCTCTCTCTCTGTGTGTGTGTGTGTGTGTGTGTGTGTGTGTGTGTGTGTGTTTCTCTATTTAAAATAAAACTTTAAAAATGTTAGGATGGAGTGTCTGGAGAGATGGATCAGTGGTTAAGAGCATTTACTGTTCTTCCAGAGGACCAAGGTTCAATTCCCAGCACTCACCTGATGCTTACAACCATTTGTAACTCCAGTTCCAACATTTTCTCCTGGCCTCTGGGGCAGGGGCAGGGTACCAGGCATACATGTGGTAATAGACATATATGCAGACAAAATACCTATATACATAAAAAATTTTTTTAAACTTATGAGGGGAATATGAGGAGAGCTGGAGGGGTAAATAGGGAGTGCATATTATCATATTTCATTGTATATACCTATGAAACTATCAAACAATAAAAAATGAATATCTGAACATGTCCTCCAGGGAACTCTACAAGGTGGCCTTTCTAGATGTTCAATTGTTCACTCACTTCATAGACTCTTATTTATTAAAAGTACATTAGACACATGTGTTATGAGTTAGGGCCTTTACTTATTTTATTTATTTTGTCCTTCTTGTATTTGTGGGTTGTTGCTCAGGGGAGAGGGTGAGAAGGTGCAGCATCAATGACTCAGACACTGGGAGTCTGTTGAAAGCAAATATAATGAACTCATTTATTTAATAACAAGGTAGGCCTTATGTACCCTCCTCCCAGTGCCCAGTCTATACAGTCTATGTGGTTGTCCTTCATTGACTGGGCATGATCAGGAACTCTGACAGTGATTGTTGCTAGGTCCTCAGGCAGACTCCAGGTTGGCTCTTAAAGAGTATGTTATGTACATGCTTTGGCTACTGGTCTAAGCCAATTTCCTTGATCCTATGGGCCTGTCCTACTACAGTGGGTGATACCTTAATTTCTTCCCAAAGAAAACAATGTTTCTATGAAAACTTTAATTTGGAGTGAAATGTGCAGAGAATAATGTTTTCAAACATTTGAGGACTCACGTTTATTAAAACATTATTCAAGCATCCAACCAATCCTACAGCAAAAGAAGAGGCTAAAAAAATCAACTGGGACATTTAAATATAAGTATACTATATTCTTAGTTGCTCAAACTTCTCCATAAGCTGTTAGAGAGGAGTTGCCTAGTCATATATTTAAATATAACATGAATGAAAATGTGCATATTTTGGGTTAGGAACTTAACCCAGTGGTAGAACACTCACTTAGCAAATACAAGGTCCTAGGTGTGGTCTCAAAATGCACAAAAGGTGCATATTTGCATGAAAACATAATTTTCATTTTGTTGTGATAAACACAATCTTTGAACTGCAGAGCAGTTGCATGCTTGGCTTCTGTGTTTTCTGGGGGTCATATTGCTTTGTCACTGCTCTAGACAGTGTCCGAATCCTCATAAGCATTTGGTGCTGTCATCTCTTTCTTTTATAAACTGTGGCCATTTGGATGGGTATGTAGTCAAATTCTATTGTTTCAATTTGCATTTCCCAGATGGCTATTAGTGTTTATCTTTGGGAGTTCTCATCTGCATCCATACATCTTCTCTGGTGAAGTGCCTTTTCATCTCTTTTGCTCTTATTCCCATTGGATCATTTCAATGTCCATTGCTAAGAGGTCTGTATGTCCTTTAGATTCAGATCCTTTGCCAAATATGTGATTTGAAAATGTTTTCTCCCACTGTGTAGTTTCTCTTTTTGTCCTTTAAGCAGGATCCTCTACAGAAAACATTGAAAACTTTTTTGATGAAGTTCATTTTATCTGGGTTTCATTTTCTAGATCATGCAGTTCACTTTCACTGTCATGTCTTAGAACTGTTTGCCTAGTGTATTTCTGCCCTTTGGTTAAATGTTGACACCCATGGAAAACGGCACAGTCAAGACCAATGACTAGGCTTCTGGATTCAGGCATGGTATAAAATAGGGTTAGGACCTGCTCTCTCAAGGCCTGTGCAATATAAAAATATCTATGTTTGGTACAGAGAGGATGGAGGATTACAAAAGAACACATCTTAGAATGACTTGTTTCTCATTTTATGCAACAGGATAATACAGGTATATTTTAAATACCCAAAAGAGGGTTACTGAGGTGACTCATCAGATAACTCTTGCCACCAAGCCTTGCATTTGAATTAGATACTCAGAATCTACATGGTGGAAGGAGAGAACCCACACCTTCCACCAAAGCCAAAATATTTCTAATCACATATTTGACAAAGGACTAGTATCTAGAGGATACACTGAACTCTTAAAAACTCAGTAAGTTTTCCTCTGACCTCCACACATACACAGTGCTACACACACACACACACACACACACACACACACACACACACACACACACACACACCAGATAAAAGACTAAATAAACAACAACAACAAAATAAAACCAGAAACCTGTCTCTAAACACTTACCTTTATAGCCAAGATTAGTACAGCTCTCAGCTCCTATCAGAACAGCTTTGTAAATGCAGTGGACAATGATTTATACAGAGGCTCCCAGCTGGTCAGAGGGCAAAGAATGTATGAGTGTGGGTTGCCCAGCCCTAAAAGGGTCATTCTTATCACACCCCTTTCACCATAATGCTCAGGGATCATCAGAGAAGACGGTGAAAAGATTGTTAAGAGTCAGAAGTTCAGGAAGACTCCTACAGAACAGTGTCTTCTGGATGTGACAAGGCTTTGATTGAACTCATGAACACACAGTGGCTATTGTTGACTGCAAGATCAAACCGGTCCAAGTTCCAGTATAGATGGGGGAGGGCTCACAAAGCCCCATTTCTAGCTGGAAAGCTATTAGCAGTTGAAGGTTACAGGAGTAGGGAGAGTTGTTTTCTTTGGGGATATAGTTTCTGATAGATTGTCCATGCTCCAGGGGATGACCCAGAAACCTTTCACTTACAGGCATCCCTGACTGGACTCGGCAGGTTATAAGAACAGGAAATAAACTTGGGACTTGATGGGGTCTGGGAGGACTTGGAGCGGGGCAGTGGGGAATGGATTTGATTTAAATATATCACATATGTGGATGAAATTCCCAAGGAATAAACTAAATTTTGAATAAAAAATAAAATAAGATGAAATGAAACAAATACTCCAAAGACAAGTTTGACATCTATAATTGTATCTTACAGAGTTATCGAGTTATCTGCCTGAAGCCAGTGTGCCAAGTAATGTTGTCAGACACTCGAGCACTTGGAAAGCCCCTTTTCAACTGGTAAATTTCAGTCCTTAACCATTGCATCAACCATCTTATGCACTGATAATTTTAAATTCTATGAACAACAGTTTTATTTGAGCAAATTTAAGCATTATGAATGGATCCGAGAAAGTGGAAGTACCCTGCCTTGTCCTCCCCCACACTTCCCCTCTTACCCAGGCACTACACACTTGTATATTCATTTTGTTCCACATTGTTTTCTCTTCTTTGAGGCAGGGTCTCACTAAATATCCCAGGCTGGCCTCGAACTCACAGAGATCCATCTGTCTCTGTCTCCTGGGTGCTGGGATTAGAGATGTGCACCACCATGCCCTGCTTTGTTCCACATCTTGATCTTCCTCTTCGATGGCTTTTCAAGGCAGCAATAAAATATATTTGATTCTTTGAATATGATGTATATGATAGTATTACATAAAATTAACCACATCTTTATTTCTTAATTGGTAGTATTGTAAATTGTTGTTATTTTTCCTGTTTGAAACTGAGATTACTGGAACATCTTTGACTATATCCAAACATATCCTAGTATTCAGTACATACTTACAGCAGTATTAGTCAGTATACATTTACCATAATAATGCTACATTATAATCCTGTGAGTAGAAATTTCTAGAATAAGCAACATATTTCAAGTATAATATTTCCTATATCCCTCATGTAGAATGGATAATTTCCAAGCTGTTATTCCTGTTTCTTGTTCTATTAGCAATTTTAATTACATAGCAACATGTAAGAGAAAATTAAAAGGAAACAAAGCCACAGTAGTATAATTCAGAGAGAATAGAAAATAATGAAAGATCAGACAAAATTCAGATGTACGCAAGAAACATTTCAGTGAAAAAAAAAACCTGGAATTTCCCCAAAGTGAAAAATAATAGTGATCATCATTCTCCTCATCCTTCCCCATTCCTTCTTTATCCTTATCTTCAGTTTGCAAAAGCATTCAACTGCTACAAGTTTTGTAATTTCTAAGTGATATTTTTAAGTGTGTGGCATTTTTGAGGATTAGTCTTATAAATGGTGAGAAATTATCTTAGGAAATATTTGAGAGAAAAAAGTAGTATTTGGAGGATTGGAATACAGATAATATGATGGAGGGAAAGAGAAACAGAGAATAAGGACACTGTGCCTACACAGGTGAGGGAATAGCTGCTAGCCACCATGGAGCACATCAGTGATATTCTGTCCCCCACAGCCTTGCCTCAGGTGCACTAAAAATGCTGACATCCGACAACTTGGCTGCTCACCAAGAACCAGCAGAAACAAGCCAGGTTCCAGTGGAGCGGATTTGTGGGTCTGTCAAGAGGATGCTTCCTAGACTCTCCTTCTGCACATGAGCCTCCTCAGGCCCTGCTTCAGGTCTTTGTTTCTCAAGCTGTAGATAAAAGGGTTTAGCATAGATGACAAAACTGTGTAGACAATTGTTGCTATATGGTCCCTGACAGTGTAAGTAGACACTGGCTGTAAATACACATAGAAGATGCTTCCATAAAAGAGAGTTACCATGGTGAGGTGAGAACCACAGGTAGAAAAGGCTTTGCATTTCCCAGCAGCAGAAGGAATTTTGAGAACCGTAATGAGGATTCTTATGTAGGAGAAAGCAATGCACAGAAAGGGGGTCACCAAAACAAGAGCTCCTTCTGTCACTATCACAATCTCATTAACAAATGTAGAGGAGCAGGATAATTTTATCAGAGGACTAAGGTCACAGAGAAAGTGGTGAATGACATTGGAGTCACAAAAGGTGAGAAGATTCAATAAAAGTGTGTGCAGGAGTGAGTGGAGGTGAGGAAAAGAGCAGGAGAAGGTTACCAGTAAGACACATCGATGGTGGCTCATAATGGTGACATAGTGGAAGGGGTTGCAGATGGCCACATAGCGGTCAAAGGCCATGACTGCCAGAAGACAGCTATCACTGTTGCCCAAGGCATAGAGAAAATACATTTGCGTCAGACACCCAGCATAGGAGATGGTCTTTTTTTCTGACAGAAAATTCACCAGCATTTTAGGGACAATGGTTGTTGTGAAGCAAATGTCAGTTAAAGACAGAAAACTCAAGAAAAAATACATGGGAGTCTGGAGATGAGGGTCAGAGCGAATGACCAGAATGATGAGCAGGTTCCCTGCTATGGTGACCAGGTAAATGGTGAGGAAGAGAATAAAGAGTGGCTTTTGGTCCTCAGGCCGAGAGGAAAGTCCCAGGAGGATGAACTCAGAGATGCTGATGGTTTGGTTAACTCTTTCCATTGATTTGGATCCAGTTGTATACAAGAAGCTGTTTTTTAATGCATTCAGTGATCCAAATCATGAGAACTCAGCAAGTCTTTATGCCATGTTTCTGGGGTATGATGATAAGAATTCAATGGTTCTTCTTGTAATGCTGAGGATTTTGCTTCCTCCAAAACCTGTGCTGTAGATGACCTGAAGGTCAAAACAGATGGACTGAAAACCAAAAACCAGATTCAGGTTTCTGTTGGATCTTGGGAGTTACTAATTCAAGAAATATTTGAAGTTACAAAGGATAAAGGAAAGAAGTGCAAGGCTCTGTGGAGTGGCCAGGAGGGCGAGCCCCTTCTGCCAGCTTACTTCCACATCCGAAGTCTTTGCTTCTAACTTTCTCCGGAAGCTGGCATTCTGCACATCTGCCCCTTAACCAGTGTTCAACTTCATTATTCTCCTCCGGCCAAAGCTAGGTAAGAAGAATAGTGGGAAATGAAGACAGAACTAATAGCTGCTCAAAAGGGCAATGCATCTCCCTTCTCTGGACTCAACTTGCTGTTTTCCTGCTAATCTCTGGGTCCCAGCATGATGCTACTTTCTCAGCTCTCATCTCAAAAGACAGAGCTGTCCTGACCCCAGAGGCAAGGACTCCCAATTGTGGAAGTTCAGTTAGCATTTCATGGTTTTGGCTTTGTTAAATCTTGTTCTGAGATCCTTCTTAGGGTGATAGTTGTGTGGTGACCTCTCAGGGGAGTTTGCTCTGTGATTACTCTAAGTAGAGAAAATTTGAATCACAGTTAGCAGAGCTGACTCCAAGGGGGTGGGATCCCTAAGGCCTCCTTTAGATGTTGAGGCTAATCTCAGACTGCTTAACTTGATTTCAGTATCTCAAAGGCAAACCTCCAAGCAATGATTTTTAATGGTATCGATGTATGTGGATGAATATTTTTGTTGGGGGATTTACTTATTTTTTATTAATCCTCTGAGAATTTCCTACAATGTATTTTGATCAACACTGCCACCTACTTCTCCCAGATCAACTTTAGTTATTTTAACTGTTGTGTATTTGATTTCTCTAATTTGTATTTCTCTGTTGACACCTAAAGTAGACTATCTTTTTATATTTTTATTGACTATTTGTGTATCTTCTTTGGTGAAACGTCTGCTAAAATCTATCTCAGTATTCTACAATCCCTCCCTTCCACCTTCATGGCATGTGTGTCCTGTTGTTCCCTCTTCCACTTCCCCAGAACCTCATTTTTCCCTTTTGTTATGCCCAGATCACGGGGACCCCCAAAAGACCACCATGGAAACCAAATCCCGCAAGTAAAAGCAAAGAGCCTTTATTACCCTCAAGCTCCGGGCTTGGTCTCTCTGTCTGTCCAATGCAGCAGTGAGAGCAGAGAGCCCTGAACTCAGGTAGGATGGGGTTTTTATCAGAGCAGAGGTTGGGTTGAGTGGATTTCCAGGGTTCAGGACCCTGATTGACTGACATTTATCTAGGGGTATCTGTAAAACAAAAATAGGTGTGTTAGACTCAGGGACTTCTGGCCACCTTATCTAAAGGTTGGAATGTTTAGGATGTCAGATACTTCCCCATCCCTAGGTGGGTACCTGGGTGGGGTCAGCTTATGGCTTTTCCTGGATCTGGGTGTTGCCTGCCAGTAAGCCTGTCACAGAAGCTGTGTCTGGGCCTGTCATGGCAGCTGTGTGGTCAAGCTGCTCTAGGGCCCCTTTACACTCTCACCCTCTCATGGCTCCTTTCCTAGTTTCATAGCCTGTATTCACACTCAACTCCACTTACATCCACACATGGAGCTCATAAGCTAGGATTCACATGGGAGACAGAACATACAATTTTGGGCTTTCTGGGTCTGGGTGACTTTACCTAGTATAGTGCTTTCCAGATTGTGATAGCCGTTCTTGGTTGTCAACTTGGCTGCTTCCGGAATTAACTAAAACCCAAATGGCTGGACACACCTGTGAGATATTCTTCTCATAAATCATTTGAAGTGGAAAAATCCACTTTTAATCTAGATCTTTGATGTGGTCAGATCCACCTATAATCTGGCCACACCTTCTACTGGAAACCTATATAGAGACATGGAAGAAGGAAGCTCTCTCTTTGCCTGCTTGCCCTCACTCTCACTGTTAAGTCCATTCCTTCACCGGCCTTAGAGCCTACTTCTACTGGATTCTGGTGTATACTGAAGACCAGCTGAGACACCTAGCCTTGTGGACTGAACAACTACTGGATTATTGGATCTGCTGTTGGTAGACAGCTATTGTTGGACTAGCTGGACCACAGCCTCTAAACGACTCTACTATCTAATATATATATATATATTTGTGTGTGTGTGTGCGTGTGTGTAGATATAGATAGATAGATAGATAGATAGATAGATAGATAGATAGATAGATAGATAGGTATTAGGTAGGTAGGTAGGTAGATAGAATTTGCTGTTTTTCTGCCAGCTTAGCAATCACACCTGAATCTACCGATATTTTAACTACTGTCTGTGGCCTGTAGTTAAGACCATAGCCTAGCTGGATTTCCAGTCCCACCAGCACTGACTCAGCCACAGTCACCAAATATAGTTTTTAACTAAGTCTCTACATCTGCTTCTATCGTTACTGCATGTAGGTTCTATGCTGACAATTAGGGTAGTCACTAATCTGATTAGAGGGAAAGGTAAGTTCAGGCATCCTCTCCATTATTGGTAGGAGTCTTAGTTTGTGTCATCCCTGTGGATTCCTGGGGATTTCCCTAGCACCAGGTTTCTCCCTAACCTCTTAATGGTTCCCTCTACCAAGATATCTCTTTCATTGCTCTTCCTCTCCATCCCTCCCTCTACTTGGCCATCTCGGTTCCCCCTGTTCCCATCACCCATCCCTTCCTTTCTACCCTCTCTCCCAGTTTACCCAGGAGATCTCAACTATTTTCCCTTCCTGGTGCCCTCCATGTGTGTCCCTCTTAGGGTTCTCCTTTTTACCTAGCTTCTCTGAGGTTGTGGATTGTAGCTTGGTTATCCTTTGCTTTACATCTACTATCTACTTATGAGTGAGTACATATCATGTTTGTCTTTCTGGATCTGGGTTACCTAGCTCATCATGATTCTTTCTAGTTCCATCTATTAGCCTACAAATTTCATGTCTTTTTTTTAACCACTGAGTAATGCTCCATTGTGTAAATGTAAATGTACCACATTTTCCTTATCCATTCTTTGGTTGAGTGGCATCTAGGTTGTTTCCAGATTCTGGCTATTATGAACAATGCTGTTATGAACATAGTTGAGCAAGTGTCCTTGTGGTATGATTGAGCATCCTTTGGGTATATGCCCAAGAGTGGTATTTCTGGGTCTTGAGGTAGATTGAGTCCCAATTTTTTGAGAAACCACCATACTAATTTCCAAAGTGACTGTACAAGCTTGAACTCCCACCAGCAGTGAAGGAGCATAGCTTGTCAATCCTGCTTTTCTGTAGAACTTATCTAAAAGGCTATCACTACCCTTAGATAATGTAGGTTTTTCTGATAGTCTGTAATTATGTATTTTACCCTTGACCTGATCCGTTTAACAGAGAAGTCAGGATTAATGGTGTGTATTTATACTCAACTGTTTTTTTTTTAACAGTGAGCCAGGTATGATGACACACATCTATAATCCAGGAGGTTGATGCAGGAGGGCTGTGAGTCCCAGAACAGCCTGGGCTATAAAGTAAGTTCTAGGCCAGCCTAGGATACAGAATGATAACCCATCACAACAAACAAAAAGAAAAGAAACATATTAGAGAGAGGTGATACCTAAAAGCAAAAGGTTGGATATTCATATACAAAACAACCCAAAAAGGATAAAAAACTCAAATGGGAAACATGAAACTTCCAGACAAAAAAGTGGGGAAGCATGTCCACATTTGTCTAAACAGACTTTCCCTTTACTTTCTCTTCTCTTTCATGTGATACATCTTGAATATATTCATTCCCCCACAACACTTCTCAGGGTGTTAGTTATTTGGCTGCGCTGTGTTCTTACCCTGCACGGAAATGTCACGAAACACAACAGAATCCGCTAATAAGAGTTATTAAAGATAAAGGGACAGAGAGTGAACAGGCCTGCGGGAAACACATGTGTGGAGAAGAAGAAGGAAGAAGAAGAAGAAGAAGGAACCGGGAACATGGCACCAGATTTTAAAGGCTGGGCGTGGACAGATCAACGTCACTACTACACGCAAGCGCTTAGATCACATGGCCATGTTGCGTGCCTACGTAGCCAATGGAACGTCACAGACTTGGTCACGCGAGATGCCCTGACCCAGAAATGGCTATCCTGACCTGGAACTGACTAGGCGGAAGTGTCCGTTGGGCATATGCGAACACGCCCAACCGTGGGGGCGTGTTGTAAATCTTTCACTCCCCACCTTTGTACCCATCCAACTTCATGTTCCTTCTCTCTCTCATAAAAAAAAACAAAAATGAAAATCAAAATTAAGAAACAAAAACCAATACAAGAACAGCACATAAAAAAAAACGTAGATTGGACTAACATAAATTTAAGGCTCATTATTCATCTAACTACATAGACAGTGAAATAGCATCTCACAAAAGGTTCTATCTATCTATCTATCTATCTATCTATCTATCTATCTAACTATCTATCTATCTATCTATCTATCTATCTATCTATCTATCATCTATCTAGAAATCACCAATCTACATACCTATCTATCTGCCTATATGCCTGTCTGTTTATCATCTATCTCAGAAATCAAATCAGAATACATAAGCACAATTCAAGTTAATGAAAAATTGAGAAAATGCAACAAAACAATGATTTGAATATCTAATCTATACAGGGAGCTATCTCACTAACCATATGGCACAAAAGATGTTCAAACTCAATTTATAACAAAGAAATATTAATTTAAAACACCATGAGACACTGCAACAAAAGATGAGGAACTGTGTGTAGCACAGTGGCAGAATTCTTACATAGTATGCCCTGGGTTCCACCCCCAGCACCACAGAAAATAAATGAATAAAATTTAAAAGTCTAACAATATAAATCTTGATGAGTATTTGGAACTGCCAAAACTCCCTTTTACTACAAATGGAAGCATAAATTATAAAAATCCTCTGGAGTACCATTAATATTAGCTATTTTCCGTAACCAATATTTTATTCATTTTTTTAGACTGTACTATAATTGCAACATTTCTCCATTCTGTTTCCTCTCCCCTCTCACATACCCCTCCATGTTCTCTTTCAAATTTATGGCCCTTTTTTCATCGCTATTGCATGCATACGTGTGTATGTGTATATGCATATGTATTTGTAAATACAACCTCCTTAGTCTGTATAATGTTACCTGTAAGTGTATTTTCAGGGGTGACTATTTGGAATTGGATAAGCAATTAGTATGCTCTTCTGGGGAAGACTATTTCTCCCTCTTTTGCCTGGAAACTACTCAGTTCTAGTGAAGTCACAGATATTGGAAGAGAATCTATAATCACTAATTTACTAAACCAACATAATCCCTAACAACAATCTATAAACATTTGTCCTAACACCCACGGGTAAGTGTAGTCATCAAGGAAACTTCTTTGACAACCTGTAAGTGAAATAGAAATCCCTCTTGACAGCCGTAGCATGTTTCCTGTCCTTGGGGATTCAGAGACAATTGGTCTCTCTGCTCACCAACGGTAACTCTGCAGCATCCATACCTAACAAATATTCCCATATGTGTCACCTCCAGGCTTTCCTGTTCAAATATTGTGACTCCAGAAATATCACCCACACACACCCCCACACACACCCCTTGGGTTTCCATTTCCACTATATGAGATGAAGAGTTTGAGTCTCTAGAAAAGGCTGGAGTGTGAATTTGTCATTGTCTGAAAGGAACAGTGGTGATTGCAGAACCTCAGAGCTTCATAGCAACCGCCACTGGTTGAAAACAGTTGGGTAAGTGTTCAATCAGATGATCACAGTTCAAGCATGGGCTTTTCTGCTTACTCACCAAGTCCTACTTAGATTGATTTCACGCAATTCATCATATTGTTCACTGTTCTCTGACCATGTTGTCTTCCCAGACTGAGGACTGTCACATGTTCTGGCAGTTCATATTCTTAGTCTTGTTGCTTCTACTCTTAATAGCTAATTACTTCTTCAAGTCTCAAATTTTATTTAAAAATTTTAATTGTTTTCCTTGAAACCAAAATACATGCTCTGAACATTCTTTTTTGAAAGGTATTAGCATGATCCTTCCTTCAATGCCAATCCTAGCTTCTGACTATATGTTTACCTGTTTTGTTTGTTACCAATGTCCAATTATCCTAGAATCACAGGGACTGTGTTCACTAGAATTTGTCTTAAATATTTTGTATCCATGAGTATTTCTGGCATTAGATAAACAATAAAAGTACAGAAGAACTTACAAACATGGTATTCTAGACCTGCAGTGGGGTGATTTTAAAGATCTAGGGGTGGGACATACCGGTAAGTAAGTGTAAGGACTTGAGTTTGATACCAAGAATCCACTTCAAACCAAACACTGTAGCATGCATCTGTAATTTTCAACACTCCTACAGAGATGTGGGGGTAGAGACAAAATAATCTCAGAAGCTCACAGGCCAGGAAGCCTGGCATATGAAGCAATGAACAACAGGAAATGCTGTCTCAAATGGAGCAGAAGGTGAGAACTGACACCCAAAGTTGTTCTCTGACTTCTAAATGTGTGCACAAATGTACTTGTGTGCACACACATGGACATGGGCATGATGAGACACACATAAATATGATAAAGTAGATTTTTCATGATTGCTATTTACAGAATTATTTTCCCCAAACAATTCACAAATATCTGCAGTGCTTCTAAGAAAACTGCAAGGCTACCCACTTCCAGAGTTGGAACTGTGCCATGAACTAAATGTCAGATTTGCCAGAGGTGAATGGTGATATATACCTTTTAACTGGTGGTTTAGGGTTAGCTGTTTTACTTTTCTGTCTGTTTACTGATTGGATAAAGTGAGGGAAAAATACATTGAATAGAGTTTTGTGGACCAAATGATATGTCATTGTTACAAGGCCCACACATCACAATCTTTGTATCTCCACTCCTGTGCATTGTCTCTGTGGCCTTTGACTTCTGAAAATTACTCAGACTTGCCAACATCTGTCTCCTTCTCACAGACTGCTCAGGTGTCTAAGACATTCCAAGTATTCTATTATTTCCCCTTTATTTTGGAGAGCTCCAGTATTGTAGCCTAGAATCCAGATACAGCATTTATTGTTCATTAGAAAGTCCAGCTCAAGTATAGCCCATCTCCATCCACTCCACTTTGCCCAGAGGTCCTACATGTGTTTCTTTATGGCATCCCTGCTTTCAACCTTTTTGGTGTTTCTATTGTTGGCTACCATATCTCACTTTGTAGCCCAGGTTAGCCTCTAACTGGCTATCATCCTGCCTCAGGGATTATAGACACATGCCATTGCTATCATCTTGCCTCAGTCTCTGGAATATAAGGATGACAGGCACATGCCATCACATGTGGCTCCTGCTTGCTCATATGCTTTATGATCCATATGATCCTCCTCTACATAGCAACAGAATACTCTTTCATATCATAAATTTAACTATGGCCACCTTCTACTTCATCACTCACAGGTGTCTTATTGTACTGAGAATATAATACAAACTCCCTAATCTGTACTGAAGGACTACATACACATTGTCTTTGCTTCTTTATCTTCCCCCCACAGTTTCCTCTGCTCACCCCACTTGTGCCACATTTGCCTCCTGTCTCCTCTAAATAGATGTGCACATCACCATAGTGATGCTTCCTTATCTCTTTGTTTAAGGAGCATTTCTAATCTTCCAGTCTAGTCTTTACCTGTCTGACTTCATCTCATCCATTCCTCCAACAGTGAGCTACTCGCTAACTAAAACTTACTTAAAGGGATCTTCCAGTCATGGTGGCATCTTGTTTTCTTTTCTTATGGATGTATTTTTTGAGTCCATGATAGCTCTGACCAAAACATCGCCAACATGAAAAAAGGAACCCAGGACAGGAGCTGACACACAGCAAGTATTCAATGAACATGAGTGAATGCACGAGTCCTGGTTATCTCATTAGTGGTAGATTAGTAGTAAATTTAAGACTACAAACTCTAAGTGAGAATTGTAGACTTTAACTTACCTATGCTTTTTAGGAGACTTGGTTCCTTTTTCAGTAAGTTGGTTGCTATTGTTTCCACAGAGAATATTCTCCAAAGGCCTGTGTCTTACAGGCTTGGTGCAAGTTTAGTGTTAATGGTAGATGGTGGAAAATGAAAAGTGGGGCTCAATCAGCTCCAGCTCCTCCTTCAGAGGTGATTGTGGTATCTTCATCTCTTCCCATTCCTCTCTTTCATGTCACAGTCATAATTGAGGTCCCAGCTATGAAGAAGCGAGAGTTTTTGCTCTACAATGTACTCCCTGACATGATATGCTACCATGCCATAGACCCAGACACAATGGATCCATGGACCAAAACCCCAACACTTCTCTTTAATTGGTTGTTTTGGGTATTTATTCTAGTGCTACAGGAGCTAATGCAGTGCATATGATCATGACCAGTTCAGGGTCCTTCTAGGTTTCAGGTCCTTTTAGGGCTTAGTGAGAGAATGCATAGCCATCAATGCTCTATGTCATCTTGATTTTTTATCTCTGTTCCCATCAAGGCAATAGCTAAGAAAAATTCTTGGTGTGCCATCCTCCACTCTACCTTTAGTTCCACTGAATTATGAAGACAAGAAACCACAGCAGTGTTTCTGAATTTCTCCTCCTGGGCCTCTCTGAACATCAGGAACAACAACCTTTCCTTTTTGGCATCTTCTTGGTCATATACTTGGTCACCGTGGTGGGGAATATGCTCATCATCCTGGCAATTGGCTCTGATCCACACCTCCACACTCCCATGTATTTCTTCCTGGCCAACTTCTCCCTCACTGACCTGTGTTTATCATCCACCACAGTCCCCAGGATGCTAGTGAACATCCAAGCTCACAGGCACACCATCCCCTACATTGGATGCCTGTCTCAGATCTATTTCTTCCTGTGGTTCATTGGACTAGATGTTTTTCTCCTGGCAGTGATGGCTTATGATAGGCTTGTGGCCATATGCTATCCCCTTCACTACACTTTGGTCATGAATCCCAGATGCTGCATCCTACTGGTGGCCATATCCTTGCTCCTTGCCCATTCATATTCTCTAACACACATCATTCTCCTAGCTCAGTTATCCTTCTGCATGGACAACATCATTCCACATTTCTTTTGTGAACTGCTTCCTCTGTTGAAGCTCTCTTGTTCTGACACTTATGCCAACCAGTGTGTGCTGCTCTACTGGGGAGGGACATTAACTATCTTGATTCCTTTGCTAATTATTGTTTCATATGTCCGCATTGTGGCCGCTATTGTGAGAGTCCCATCAGCAAGTGGTAAGTGGAAGACCTTCTCCACCTGTGGGTCCCATCTCTCAGCAGTTTGCCTGTTCTATGTGTCTGCAATTGGAGTGTACTTCATTCCATCTGCTGCTGATTCAGTTGGCAAGGACAGGATTGCAGCAGTGATGTATGCTGTGGTGACCCCCATGCTGAACCCATTCATCTATAGCCTGAGAAACAAAGACATGAAGAGTGCCTTGGGAAGATTCCTGAACAGGAGTACACTGCAATCTCCACAAGGCTAGAAAAATCCTTTTGGGAATTTGGGGTAAATCAACTTTTAGAATTGGCTTGATGCTGAAGTTAAAATCTTGGATCTTGCACTTTGCTAACTTTACAAAGGCAGACTTTAAAAAAAATCCATTCAGCCACAATTTTATCATTTAATAAAAGGTGATAAAACATAATATCCATTGTAAATATTTCTGGTAGGGTTGTGTGTGCACATACATGTGTGTATTTTCTTGCTTTATTTCATGTGCTTAGAAAGTCATTATCATCAGCGAGATTCAACATGTTCTCCTGAGGTCAATTTTTCCTTTTTTTATTACACAGAACAAACAAACAAACAAGAAAACCAGAGGCTCCTAGAGGTTAAATAACTTGTCTGAAATTATATAGATAATTAGTGGCAAAGGCAGAATATGAACACAATGATTACAGTACACCTAAATAGTCATGATATTTATATGCTCCTCTCAATCATTGTTCTTTTTCTCTGTTCCCTCACACTGTGTGCGTGCACCATCTGACCAACCATATCTCTTAATACTATCACAATTCTGTGATAGAGTAAGGCAAACCTGAAGCTGTATCATTGATGTGTTTAGAAATTCAAGTGTTTCTCCAAGGGTGCACACTCTGTGCTTCAGCATAGGTCTCTAGTTAGCTATGCTGAATAACTTATGACTCAATCCATATGGACAAAGACAAGAGTTTTCCTTTTTGTTGAATAATTCCTTAGTACCATGTTCAGTCTCTTTAGACCTACTGTAAACTGTTACTCACAAGTTTAATTACTGTATCTCCCAGAGGGAATTCTACTAAAGGGTTGTGCTGATAAGTCTGTAGACTACTCTAGAGAAACTCTGGCCTTGCATTGCATTTTATGTTGATTCTATCTCTACATACTTGTCAGTCTGTTGAGATCTCACTGATGAGCTCTGATTTTAAAATGGTATCTTAATGTCCTCCATCATTCTGCTCAAATAGACAAAGATCACCTCTGTAAAAGACAGTTAATTTGCAGCCTGAGAAATGAGTACATGAAATGAAACTGATGTTTTCTCCTTTGGGCCCTGAGGTCTCTGACTCCAACTCAGAGCGTCCACATGACTACTGGTCTCTGAGAGAACAGTCACTGCAGGTTCCTGAACCAGAAATGTATTTATTACAACATTTACACTTGATAAACACATTTACACCTGAGGATGGGGAGGGGACTGATGACAGCTGTAACCTCCAATACTCTTTGTAAAATTCAAATACTCTGAGCAACTTGTTGTTCATTACCCAAAGGGTTTGTGTCATTTTTGTGGGATGCCCAGAAGTGTACTGGGGAGAAGTGCATTCCTACGAAACAAGCACTGGTGTATAAGTTCTGGTTAGCTTAAGTTGTAGAAGAATCAAGGAAGCCATCTCTAGAGTATGTTGTAAAGGAACTGAGGAAACTATCTTTAGCTCAAGAGTGTAGGCTTCTTTGTATCTGGTAGAAGGAAACACAAATGAATATTCTAGTGCTTTCTACTTAGTCAGGCAGTGAGTGCTCCAAGAAGGAAGCTCAAGTCCTGTGTTTCAGCATCAGCTCTGTCATCAGTGAGCTATGTAAGAGCTGCACAATCACTGAAAAGGGGTGATCTTTGACATCTGCATTTATTTTTATTTTATGTAAATGGTGTTTGGCCTGCATCTGTGTCTGCGTACTCTGTGCATGCAGTGCCCATCGAGGCCAGAAGAGGGCATCAGATCCCTTGGAACTGGAGTTACAGGTGTTGGAAGCAATCACGTGGACGCTGGGACTCAAACCTGGGTCTTCTTGAAGAGCAGCCAGTGTTCTTAACCACCGATCCATCTCTCCAGCCCTTGATTTATGCATTTCTTTAAGTGGTTGGCCTACACAGCCCAATTCTCATAGCATTTAGTGTTATAGTGAGAAGTCAAGATTTGCATTCATAAGCCAGAAATTAAGACACTTAACCACTTCTACATAATACTACTTCCCCTTTGCTCTCTGTCTCTCTACCTGTAAACTAGCAGCTATGTGATATTATTCTGAATAATATGTGAACTTGAATTACAGTAAGTGCTCAATAAACAGTTACAGAATCCAACCCTTGAGAGCTATCATTTATCCTATTAAATCTTAGTACTCCCTTCCTCATACTTTGTTGGAACTGACCCAATCACTCACACTCTGGGACCCTAGTTCTCAGGATTCTACCATTTCTAGTTTTCTTAGCTTACTGTCAAGAATATTCTAGGTGAGCTGTCATCATAGAGCCTTTGTCCAGTGACTCATGGAGGCAGATACAGAGATCCACTGCCAGGCACCAGGCTGAGTTCCGGGAATCCAATTGATGAGAGAGAGGAGAGATACTGCAGGTGAGGGACATCGAGATCATGATGGGAGGACGTGCAGAGATGACCGGCCACACTAGTGAAAGCCCATGAACTGTGGACTGGTGGCTGTGGAGCCCCCATGGGACTGGACTAGGCCCTCTGGATACGGAAGACGGTTATTTGGCCCGAACTGTTTGGGGGGCACCCAGGCAGGGGGATCGGAATCTGTCCCTGGTCTATGGGTAGGCTTCTGGAAACCGGTGCCTGTGGTGTGACACCTTGCACAGCCTTGGTGCAGTGGGAAGGGGCTTGGACTTGCCTAGGCTCAGTGTGCTGGGCTCTGCTGACTCCCCATGGGAGACCTCGATTTGGGGGATGAGGGGATGTGGGGATGTGGGGTGGCTTGGGAAAGAGGGCTGGGGGGTGGAAGGAGGGAGGAGGCGTGATCTGTGGATAGTATGTGGAGTAAGTAGAAAATTTCTTAATAAAGAAAAATGAAAGAAAAAAAGAAAAAAGTCAACATTTGTAACAATAAATTTTGTTTCCCCCTCTCCCTGCACTTAACAAATATTTATTGACTACTTGTTAAGGCCCAGATGATATGTTAAATTTCTTTTTTAAAACATTTTTATTAATTAAATTTATTCATTTATTTTAAAAAAGAATATTCTAGGTGGTGACTTTCTTAGCTATGTATTTAGTATGCTTCTGAGCATAGACAGAGAATCTTTTAATGAGGATTACATCAGTGACTACTTACTTCTCAATATTTGCTTCCCATAGTTACCAAGAGTCAATTTAATGTAGGTGGAATGTTTTGCTATGTTAGGAGAAATGTTTCTTGACCAATTTAGCTCTATGGTAACAAATGGAGGTAACTCAATCAAGTACCACCTATCCTAGCTGGCTCTTAATACTCCACTCCACCTGAATGATTGCTTTTGGCATGGTCAGCTCAGATCCACCCTGTTTCTCCTTGAGAGTCAACCCTGCTTACAGGGAGCTTACACAATGACTATGCAGCCACCCACACACACCTGGGGCAGGGAACCATCTTTAATCCAGCACTGACTTCTTCTGGTGTTTAGTAGAAAAGCACCTAGTCACTCATGCCAAACTGTACTCTGTAACTCACATGGAGTCAATTTTGTTTTGGACAACTACTTCTGGGCATAGTGCTTGCCTAGAGTGTGGTTGATATACAGTGACACCCCATTGGAAAAAAAGTTGATTCTCCCTTTCCCAGCTGGGGTGGAACTTCTTGCCCACCTCCCCTCTGCATGTTGGGATCTTCTTTGCTAAAGACTCATTTTTGTTTTGAGATGCAATCTTTAATAAGATCCTTTTCTTCCTTGTTTTTTCTGGCTTTTATTTTGAAAGTGTGCAGCATCGAAAATTTACTGTAATGGATGTCATCAAATCAAATGAATAAAGTTAATGAAAACATTACAAATCATGTGTATTGGGTTTTCTGTCACCAATATTCCGTTTTAATTGTTTGACAATTGTATATATGTATATAATGTGTTTTAATCAAACCCTCCCCTACTCCCTTTCCTGCTCCTTTTTATACTCTCCCTCCCAACTTGCTGTCCTGTTTTTAAATTCTTTGAGTCCACTGAATGCTACCTGTTTGTTCATAGGTGTAGGACCATCTACTGGAACATGAGATTGTTTCCTGGAAGAAAACTGACTCTCTCTACCCCAACAGTCAATTGACTATAACTTACCATTATGGGGTAGGACTTCATAAGCTCCTCCCCTATGTACTCTGGGACTTTGACTGGCTTGTGCTGGTATTTTGCATGCAGTCACAGTCGTATTATATCTGGCAAATACTGTTTCACTGATGATGTTCACTGCTTCTGACCCTTAGAGTTTCTGTCTCTTCTGGTTTAACATAGATGTTCCATTTAGAACTGAACACTCAACAGTCTCTTATTGTCTGCACATTGACCAGTTGTCGGTATCTGCATTAATCACTACCTACTTAAAAAAAAAAGACTTCTTTAATAAGGGTTGAGAAGATACACTAATATACGTATCTATGGAGGTAGTTTATTACTGTGTCCATTTAGTTCAATAGTGTTATGTTCTCCCCTAGGACTTACGACCTAGGCAGCCACAGCTTGGAACCCTATTAGTGGTACCAAGCATGAATGTCATCTTGTGGAGTGGGCCTTAAATCCAATCAGCAGATGTTTTTCGTATGCTTGATATAACTTTTCATAAATTTTGAAAATATTTAAGTGAATTCCAGTGACATTTTTCACACATATAAAAGGCAACCCAAAATGTCATATAGGGCCACAAAAGACCCCAAATAGCTAGAACAACTTGAACAACAAATACAGTTAAAGACATAAAATCTCTGGCTTTGAGATTCATCTTAATGTTGTACTCAGAAGAGGCACTCAGAACCAGCATGAAGACACATGCACGTACCTTGATGGAACAGTGAGGAATAAGTCCACATACTCAATTAATCTTCAAAAGGCACTAAAAACACAAGATAGAGAAAAGATAGTCTCGTCAAAATAAGCATCAGGGAAACCATTTTTGTGGAGTTAGAAGAGTGAAGAAGCCTGGCGGTGGTGGCGCACACCTTTAATCCCAGTACTCGGGAGGCAGAGGCAGGCAGATCTTGGTGAGTTCAAGGCCAGCCTGGGCTACAGAGTGAGTTCTA